TCAGAAGAAGCTGATTCAATTGATGAGTCCCTAGAGAGACTGATTGGGGCAAAAGGAAACGTTTAGCAGACCCAACTGTCAACTAGGAATGAGAAGGGGAAGCCCTGCTGTGTCCTCTGAAATGCTGTGGACCTCACAGACTCTCGGGACCCAGCAGGACACTGTAAACTGTGCTATGATTTGGAGACACAGTCAAGCAAATTCCTGCAAAGACACAATTTACCAAACCTACACAAAAACAAATAAGGTATCTGAATAAGCCCATATTCATTTTTGTTTGTTTGTTTGTTTTGGTTTTGATTTTTGAAGACAAGGTTTCTCTGTGTAGCTTTGCGCCTTTCCTGGAACTCACTCTGTAGCCCAGGCTGGCCTTGAACTCACAGAGATCCACCTGCCTCTGCCTCCTGAGTGCTGGGATTAAAGGCGTGCACCACCACCACCCGGCTGCCCATATTCGTTTTAAGATTCAAATCTGTAATAAATCATTTTCCCTTCCTCCATTCCAAGAAAATAAAAGGCTAGTTAGCTTAAAGAGTAAAATGGTCCAAGTATTTTAGGGAGAAGCAACATTAATTTTACAAAAACTCTTTTTTTTTTTGGTTTTTTTTTTTTTGTATTTTTTTTTTTGTTTTTGTTTTTCGAGACAGGGTTTCTCTGTGTAGCTTTGGTGCCTGTCCTGGATCTCGCTCTGTAGCCCAGGCTGGCCTTGAACTCACAGAGATCCGCCTGGCTCTGCCTCCCGAGTGCTGGGGTTAAAGACGTGCACCACCACCATCTGACTACAAAAATTCTTAAAGACAATACAAAAAAAAAAAAAGACTCTGCTTTAGGAGACCACTATAATTTTGATACAGGGATTGATAAGGAAGTGAAGTATAGGTTCATCTTTATTGTGGAAACAAATACCAAAACCAAACTTAGAAACCAAGTTCAATAGACATATCACAGACAAGCTGAATGTGGAGTTGACCTTACATTTGTAATTATCAATGTTACTTGCCATATTGACAAGAAAAGAGAAGAATCATGTAGTCATAACATAAACGCAAAAGTGATGTTAACAAAAACTCAGTATCGATTATTTAGGAAAAACTATTAGTGAACTAAAAATAGAAGACAATGTACTTAATCTGATGGGAAAATGTTGATCAAAATGCTGTGCTATGAAGTGAAATGCTTCTCATTTCACTTCATGTGTCCCCAGCTGGTAGCACTTGTGGGGCAGATCTTCGAGGACTGTAACCCAGAACCCCAGGCTGAAGCTCTCTGCTACCCAAACACACCGGGGCAGTGGACCCAGCCACAGTTCTCAAGAACTGCGGGCCAAGGCCATCCAGCTGCAACTCCTCCCACACAAGATGTGCATCCCCTTAGTCTTTCCCCTGAAGTTGCTTCTGTCCGGTATTTGGTCTCAGCAAGGGGAAAGGCTGCTGCAGGCTTACTGACTTAGAAGCCTCGGGTGCTCTGGATGAGAAAGTTGGCTGATAACGTCTGTGGGCTGTTAGGAAGCCTCTGATAGAGCAGACATCCACCACTGTGAGACGGCATCCAAGTGACGTGCAGGCAGACTTCCGTCGCAGCCCTTTTCTGCACTGTAAAACCCTGTGCCACTTGCACACAGCCTCTACTCCCACGGAGACTGTGGCCCTTCAGTTCTCATTAAAGGAACAATTCTGCTTCTGGAGATGCCTGTCTCTTTTATTTCCAAGTCGCCTCCATCAGTCTCAATCTAACAGTTACAAATACACTCAGTGTCCTTGACGGAGGAAAACTATAGCTGAATTCAGTACAGAAGGAAACTGACGCAAGTTAATGAAGAGTATCTGCCAACAACACTTTCAGAAAACATCGTATTTAATGGTGGGATAGTAAGTGCTTTCCCTGTAAAACCAAGAGGATGCCTGGTACCGCTGCTTCGGCACCAGGCTGAAGTTCATCCTCAAAATGATAGTCTGAGCGAAAGAGGGTTTTTATTTACAACATAACAAAATTGTCAGTATTCACAGGCAATAGGATTGTGCATGCAACAAATCTAACAGAGCCCAGGTTGTAGAATGAATCATATTTCAGCAAGTCCAGCTGCATGAAGAGTTCAAATCATGGCTTCTTCTTAAGCTTTGTTTACTCATGACCCCAGGTATTAGGTATTTAAGCCAAATATATATGTCAAACATTTACTGGTAATAAATCATAAAGAAATGTATTTTTAAAACAATTCTTTTATACACGTGCTATTTTACCATTTACTAAATTAAAGCAAGTTTGAATAATAATGAGAAGGGTGTGCTTATTTGTTTTTACATAAAGAATTACCTCCCGGCTGAATATTTACACACATTCAATATTTTTCAGGGCTTGTTAATAATTTTATAATCATTAGTGTAGAAAACACTGCTTCACATAACTATGTCATCTAAAGTGTCAGAAGTATTTTGGTGTAAATTCAGAGCCTGGAAATTCTGTAGTGATCCCAAGTGGACGTTCATTCAATGAATCAGCAACTCAAGTGGCTATTTAAAAAATATGTATTTACTTCTGGGGGCCATGGAGCATACATGGAGGCCACAGAGCAACCAGCAGGGGTTGGTGCTCTCCTGCTACATGGGTCCCATGGATTAAATTAGCTCTTCATATTGGGTGTAAGTACCTCTCTCCACAGAGTCACTTGCCTGCTCCTTTAAATAGCTTTGGGTTTTAGTTTGGTTTGGTTTGGTTTGGTTTGGCTTGCACATATTTAAATATGTGTAAACTTCCCAGCACAGTACAATCCAGATATGTGCTAACCTGACACATGCTGAGGAATGATAGTAGGAAAATGCTATCCTTGTTTTCCATAATTAAACCATTACTTATGTACAGTAAAAGTAGTACAGTTTATAATATATAACAGTCTAGTTTCTGAGCTTCAGGAAGAGCTTGTTGGTGCTGGGTGGAATGGTGGCATACACAATGGAAAATACACAGGGTGTAATTTAAAATACAGGGTGTTCAGGATCAAGGCTACACCATGCAACACAAGCAAACACTGCCAGAAATGTTCTGTATTCATTACATGTTCGTTTTTTTTTTTTTAGTTGATTTGGAGTCAGCACACATTCAAAAACATTTTGCTGTTGCCAAAGTTCTTACAATCTGCACCACCAGTTACATGCTCCTATATGAAAGATATGGTACAAATCCCATGCACTAAATGTAAACAAACATGTTCATTTATGATACACATGAAATTAGCTATAATGATATTATAGATATCTAGAGACAAGCTGAGAGTACCCTCATAACCTTGATGTATACAAAGTTTATGAAAGGGTTGTAAAAATTCCTAGCCATAAAGAGAAAGACAGATGAATTGTTCTATACCAAATCTGAAATGATAATTCATAAGAAGGCACTACCAATGACCAAGAAGGGATGCCAGAGTAAAGAAAGACATTTCACACATATGTACAAAAAAATTCATGTCCAGAATTTGAAAGAACTACAAAACAGTATGAGAAAGACTGAGAAATTTGAACAAATATTTCACATTTTAAAAGTGATCTAAAATTCCACTTAGATATAAAAAAAGTCTTGGTATAGGGGTTCACACATTTAATCCCAGAACTTGGGAGGCAAAGACAGGCAGATCACTATGAGTTCAAGGTCAGCCTGGTCTACAGAGCAAATTCCAGGCCAGCCAGAGATGTATAGTAAGACCCTGTCTCAAAAACAAATTAATAAACCACACAATATGAAAAAGTTCAGATGTCGTAATTCATCAGAATGGCTAAAATGTCCAAGATGAGCACAAAATCTGCCACAGGTGGAAGGCAATGAGGCGCTGTAGGCTGCCTGGTGGAGTTCCCACTCAGTCATCTCAGAAAATGGTTGCAGACTATTCCTTTAACTATGTAAAGGTGTGTGACATTTGCTTATGCTGCATTTGTTTAATGATGTAAAGATGTGTTGCTTTGCCTGCCTAAGACACCTGATTGGTCTAACAGAAAGCTGAACGGCCAATAGCTAGGCAGAGGAGGAATAGACGGGGCTGGCGGGCAGAGAGAATAAATAGGAGGAGAAATCTAGGCTCGAGGGAGAGAGAGAGGGAGACGCCAGGGGCCAGTCAGCCACCAGTCAGCCAAACACTGAGGAAACAGTGAAAGTAGGACATACAGAGCAACAGAAAGGTAAAAGCCCTGAGGCAGAACATGAAGAGAAACAGGTTAAGTTAAAAGAGCTAGTGGGACAAGCGTAAGCTAAGGCCAAGCACTCATAACTAATAATAAGTCTCCGTGTCATGATTCGGGAGCTGATTGGTAGCTCAAAAGAAAGCCTGCTGCAGAAATCAGCATTTTCTGGATACAGTACTACATAGTCTACAAGCCAGGAATTCCACCCCCAAGTGTATGCACAGGAGGCATGCAGAATGTGCACAGCCATGCTGTCTGTCTCAGCTCCAAAAGCATATTAACACACTTCCCTTCGAGAGTCTCCTCCTGACCTGGGACAGAGTAATCTGCTTATTCCTACATGTTTTTCTCAGGGCACAGTGCAATTGATGTGACATAAATGACTGAGGCATTGATAAATATGGAATTAGTTATGTTTTGGGGAAGACCAAGGTCTGAGACCAATAAGAAACTAAGGGAAAAGTTGTCTGTAAGAAAAAAAAAACCTCACTAATTACTTTAGGGAACTTTGTTGACCCACTGTCAGACTGGAAATTCAACTTTTAAAAAATTAAATTTAAGTTTAAGGGCCGGGTGGTGGTGGCGCACGCCTTTAATCCCAGCACTCAGGAGGCAGAGGCAGGCGGATCTCTGCGACTTCGAGGCCAGCCTGGTCTACAAAGTGAGTTCCAGGAAAGGCGCAAAGCTACACAGAGAAACCCTGTCTCGAAAAAAAAAAATTAAATTTAAAAGCAATCTGTTCACATAATAATTTGAAGGAAAAAAAAATAGTACAGAAAGACGTAATGAAATGCCTACTTCCCCCTTGATTTCTCAAATACAGCTGTTGATTTTGTGTACTCTCTGAGGAAAATGTGCCCTTAGGGGTTTTCATAAACACATACATTCCATTTCTTACCTCTGCCATGGAAAGGCTGCACTACAAATACCAATCCACACCTCATTTTCTCTCTCCCTCACCAGGAGATGCTCTTGCCCTTTGCGTACGTGGAGCTTCACTTCACCATTAATGGTGTCGTTGTACAGTCCCACAACCATAATCGTGTATGATGCCTCCCTGTTGAAACAGCGATGAAAGACAGACCTCTTTCATAGAACTGTCTTCTAGTAGTTTCCCTAAGGTGATTTCCCAACAGCAGAAATGTGGGGTTGGGAGCACGTGATTTTTAGAAACCTTAACTTTCTCACTTTGGCTGTAGGGGAGGAAACTAATTAATAGTTAAATTTAGGTACTCCTACTTCCTTTTTCTGATCAAGATGCACTCTGCTGTTTTAGAAGAGCGGTGTCCCAGATATTCTCACTGGAGCTGGTGTGAGCCGCTGTACTGACTACTGTGAGATCAAGAAGAAGAGCTAACGGCTGTGTGAGAAAATGCCGGGTTCCGTCTGTCCCTGGGTGGTCTTCACGCTGCTGTGGCTGGCTCTACCGGTTGTGAGTGAGTAGAAGGCCCAGTATGGGTCTGCAGTGGGTCGGGCAGCATCCATCTCTCTCCACCACAGGCCTGGTTGTCTCTTGAGGATCAGCACCACAGAGTTTCCCCACGTGAGGCTGTATTCCCCAAGTTTACCGCACAGCTCGGGATTTCCTCTCCTGAGCCATAGGAAAGTAGTCACAGGTGGGAAAATCCTTCCATCCGCAGGGGAGGAAACTGTAACAAGAGCAATAACTAAAGTTTCACTTGTTTTTTTCTTTAACAAATACTTTATGAGGCACAGACAATGAATCGCACTTGTTTGGCCACACTCTTTTATTCAAATGAGAGCTACATTTTAATCCCTCATGTGACGGACTACTCCCGGTCTCGTGGTGAGATGACAAGGGAGTCATATAGAGGGGAGCTCCTTCTGCACATGTGTGCCAGCCAGAGTCGGACTGTGGAAGTCAGAGGTGGACACACGGTTTCCCAGAGGGAAGGTGCCTGCAGCAGGTGACTGTGTCACGGCCTGTGGATACGCGTTTCTGTCCGTTCATACCTACAGTGTTTGCTTTTGACTAAGTTTTAAATGTTGGAATTAAATGTGGGTCCACCTATTCAAAAAAAAAAAATCTTAGAGCCATCTATGTGCGACACTGTACCCAATGCTGAGGATGATGGGCTGTTTCGTGCCCATAAAGACAGCTGCAGAAGATCTCTCAGCAAAGTCAGTGTACAAGAAGCAGCTCGGGAGATGCAATTCCAGTGGAGGGCACAGACAGATAAGTCCCGGTGGAGGGCACAGACAGATAAGTATCCACACACATAACAGCTGGTAAATAGCTCTGAAACTCAGGAACTGAGCAGCGGATGGGGCAAGGACCCCATAGCTGCAAGGAACTGTTACCGCAGAAACAGAAGCACATCCAAACACCGCACAAGAGGAGCAGGAGAGGAGAGGGGAGAGGAGAGGGGGAGAGGAGGAGAGTGTCAGTAGGGTGCACAGGGGTCGGGGGTCAGAGTTTGGACTCCAAACCATTGTGCTGCTACCTATCAGCCACTTAACCAGCTTCCGTTCTCTCTCTCTCTCTTTCTTTCTTCCTTCCTTTCTTTCTTTCTTTCTTTCTTTCTTTCTTTCTTTCTTTCTTTCTTTCTTTCTCTCTCTCTCTCTCTCTCTCTCTCTCTCTCTCTCTCTCTCTCTCTCTTTCTTTCTTTCTTTCTTTCTTGAAAATAGATCCTTTTCTCACATAGCATATCCTGATTACGGTTTCCTCTCTCTACTCCTCCCAGTTCCTCCCCATCGTGCGAATCCCCTCTCTTTCTGATTCTCATTAGAAAAGAAGAGGCTTCTGAGAGATAATAATAAAGTATAATAAAATAAAACACAATAAGATAAAACAAAAACTATTACATCGAAGTTGAACAAGACAGACCAACAGAAGAAAAGACCCAAGAGAAGGCACAGGAATCAGAGCCCCACTCATTCTCACTCTCAAGAATCCCATAAAAACACTAAACTGGAAGCCATAATATAGACTCAGAGGACTTACACACAGAGTAGACCCATGCAGGCCCTGTGCGTTCTGCCTCAGGCTCTGTGAGAACACACGAGCTCTGCTCACATTGATTCAGAGGGCCTTATTTTCTTGGTGGCCTCCATCTCCTCTGGCTCTTACACTCTTTCTGCCTCCTTTTCTACAGGGTTTCCTGAGCTCTGAAGGGGAAGGATTTAATGGAGACATCCTATTTAGGGCTAAGTGTTCCAAAGCCTGTCTCTCTCTCTGTCTCTCTGTCTCTCTGTCTCTCTGTCTCTCTGTCTCTCTGTCTCTCTCTCTCTCTCTCTCTCTCTCTCTCTCTCTCTCCCTTTCTGCACAATGTTGGGCTGTGGGTCTCATTTGTTCCCATCTATTGCAGGAGGAAGCTTCTCTAATGATGACTGAACAATGCACTGATCTATGAGTATAGCAGATTATCATTAAGAGTCACTTAGTCACTATATTTTTGTTTTGTTTTTTTTATGACCAGTAGTATTTGGTTTTCAGTCTCTGGACTTATCTAGTCTCCGGTTCTTGGTCACTCAGGCAGTGCAGTGCTGGGTATGGGTTCTATCTCATGGAGTGGGCCTTAAGTCAAATCAGTTACTGGGTGGTTACTCACACAAGCTTTGTGCCACCCTTGCCCTAGCATGTCTTTCAAGCAGGACACCACGGTAGATCAGAAGGTTTGTGTCTGGGTTGGTTTACATTTCTCTTTCGGTAGTGTGCAGAGTACCTTCCTTTACCAAAGATGCTAGAACATAGGAGTAAAGGCTCTCCGTAGGCAGCCGCTCGATGTCTCCAAGTTCAGTGAGTTGTGTGGGTGTTGTCTCCCACATTGATGGGGCCTTGCTGTAAGTTTGTGGAGAGTAACCTGTAGTCTTGTCAACAGCCTGGGTTGTTTGGGGGTTCCCATGGGACCCCTTTGGCCAACAACTCAATTAGATGTAACCTAGTCCTAGTACTAGAAGCTTTGCTTGGTGACTAGAGATGGCCCGTAGGACTCTGTCTCCCCCAGTACTTGGTGATTTCATTTAGACTGCCTCCATATACACATACATTTTAGGGAGTTTCTACTTACTAGTTTTCCATACTGGCCCTCAAATGCCACTTAATTTTAGTCTCTCCCTGCATTCCCTCCTTCAACTTCATTCCCTCTCCCCCTCCCCACTTGGTCCTCCCATTCCACCCCCCTTCCATCCCTCCATAATTATCTACTCTACTTGCCTTTCCTAATGAGACCTATCCGTCCCCTCTAGTTCCTTACTCTGTACCTGCACTCTGTGGTTCTACAGATTGCCATTTGGTTATCATCGACTTAACAGCTAATATCCACATATTAATGAATATACACCGTATTTGTCTTTCTGCATCTGGGTTACCTCACTCAGAATGACTTTTTTCTAGTTCCACCCGTTTGCCTGCAAATTTCATGATGTGTTTTTTGTTCTGTTTTGTTTTGGTTTTGTCCTTGTTTTTTAATGGCTGGGTAATTCTTCATTGTGTAAATGTGCCACATTTTCTTTATCCATTCTTCTGTTGAGGGATCTCTAGATTATTTCCAATTTCTGGCTGTTATGAATAGAGCAGCAGTGGACATGGTTGAGCAGGTGTCTCTGTGGTAGGCTGAAATCTACTTTGGGTGTCTGCCCAAGAGTGGTATAGCTGAACAGTGAAGTAAGTTGATTCCCATCTCCCTAAGGAACGACCACACTGATTTCCATAGTAGCTCTACAAGTTTGCACTCCCACCAGCAATGGATGAGTCTTCCACTTACTCCACATCCTCACCAGCACAAGCTGTCACTCGCTTTATTGATCTTAGCCATTCTGACAGGTGTGGACAGATGGAATCCCAAAGTAGTTTTGATTTGCATTTCCCTGATGGCTAAGGATATTGGACATTTCTTTAAGTTAAACAGCTTTCTTATCTATGAAATGGTACCTAAGTTATAGTGTTGCTGACAAGATTCCATGAAATGATCTGGGTGGTGGTGGCGCACGCCTTTAATCCCAGCACTCGGGAGGCAGAGCCAGGCGAATCTCTGTGAGTTCGAGGCCAGCCTGGTCTACGAGTGAGTTCCACAACAGGCACCAAAGCTACACAGAGAAACCTTGTGTGTAGGGCGGGGGGGAGGGGGGGGATTCTATGAAAAGACACGTGTAATTGAACACCAAGTAGAAAGCCCTCAAACACAAAAGCCGTAATGACCCTGATATGTTGGTAATGGTGATTAATCACACAGTCTCAATAAAGCATTTGGGTTTAAGTCACTCTTCTGTCATCTCCAGGTAGACAGGGGTGATGATGTGTTCCTCACTCACAGATGGATTTTCATCGCATTGCCCAGTAAATGGCTGGCTTGACAGAAATGTCTTTCAAGAGAAAGAATCAAATCCATCCTCTCTGGATAATTTATAAATTAATAAGCCTGCTGAGTCTTGCCGCCTTTCTCTCCTCATTACTCACATCTCCAACCTGACCTATCTCTACTAGTACCAGCCTAGTTTGTTTGTTTGTTTGTTTAACTGATTCATTAGTCAAAAAAAGCTCATAGCTCGTCCATTCCAGAGCAGGCCTTCCAATCGAGAGCAGGCCTTACAAATGAGCAGGAAGCATGCACACAATTCAGATAAACCTGGATAAACACTCTGAAGAAAGTTAACCTTTGCCATCACCCAGTTATGATATTTCCCATCTTCTCCGTGGAAGGCTTCTCTCTGCCAGAACACTCCAAAGCTTCAAGTTCTGACTTCATCACATTCCCTGAGCTCTTCCTATGGCTCCCCATGACTTCTACAAGAAAACTGGGGCTACTCACTTGGCCCTGCATTCCTCCCCAACTATATTTCTCCCACCCCTCCTCAGACCACTCCACCGCACCTGCCAGAACCGCTCAGTCCACTTCCGTCCCTTCTTTTCTTTTTTTTTTTTTTTTTTTTTTTTTTTTTTTTTTTTTTTTGTTTGTTTTTCGAGACAGGGTTTCTCTGTGTAGCTTTGCGCCTTTCCTGGAACTCACTTTGTAGACCAGGCTGGCCTCGAACTCACAGAGATCCGCCTGGCTCTGCCTCCCGAGCGCTGGGATTAAAGGTGTGCGCCACCACCGCCCGGCTAACGTTGCTTCTTTTGTGCCCCTCTTGCCTGGATCGCCCTCCCTGGGCTCTCATGCCAGACACAAGTATTAACCTTCACTTGGATGGTTCCTGTGTTCTTGGTCATAATTTCCTTCAAGTATCATCCATGGTATTCCCACCTCCTCGGCATGTACACCACACACCCACACACCCACACACACACACACACACACATTCATTCTCTCTCTCTCTCTCTCTCTCTCTCTCTCTCTCTCTCTCTCTCTCTCTCTAAGCTGGCTATCCCATGTTTCTTGCTGTCATTGCATCTTACCTCTAGTATTCTACTTTTTGCCATTTTTAAATTTATCTTTAAAGTTCATGGGCAATATCTTCATACATATAGACATTTGACAAACAATTGTCAACATTTTCATGAATGTATTTTTAATGAGAAGTAGTAAAATGGATATGGAAATACATTATCTTTTTGAATAAGAAAAAAAAAAGAGTCCTTACTATGTGCCTTCGTCTCTAACTCTTGGTTTTTAATGTTGTTTGTTTTTGTTTCCAGCTCCTGTCAGGAGACAATACGGTGAGTCCTTTCTTCTGCTTTATGAGTCCTTGGTAAGAGTTTCTCCCTAGTGTCTCCCATTTTCCTGCCGAGGCCAATAGGGACTCGAGAGTGAAGTCTGGCCCCCTGACACTGCTCCAAGCCAGAGCAACTTCACGATGTCCTCTAGCACTCCCTGGGTGAGACGGTGAATGCACAGGCCGGGGACCTCTCCGAGGCCTTGCCTTGGACCCTATTGCCAAGGGGCCCCACTTAGCAACGAAAATCCTCTCTGCTTCTGACATAAATATGAAGGACTCAGGAAGGATTCCTCTCCAATCAGTCAACTAGGAAAACTATGAAACATTCCACTACGGAGCCTACTGTAACACTGTTTCCTCAGCTCCTTTAAGAGTAAAATCCTCCAGGAGTGCAGGGGAAGGAAGAGTGCCCAACAGTTGGAGCCTTACAAGGGCAAGTGCAGAGTGTTCTAGTCAGGGCTCTCGAGAGGACTGGAACTCTATATCTCGGAATGTATTAAGTGGGCTGTAAAATAGTAACAACAGCTAAATCACACCTGAGATGCTGAGAACCCAGAAGTTACACAGTCGGAGTAGTCCCAGGATAGCTGTCCCCTTACCAGGGTGAGGAAACCAGCAGTTACTCAATCGATAAGGCACGGTGCCTCAGGAGTCCCAGTCTGGCACCCAAAAGTCTGGACGGTTCCTGGAGCCTCTGGTCCCTAGTCCACGACGAAAGCTTGGAATGTTGGTTCTGTCAGCAAAGGCAGTAGCAGTAGCAGCAGCAGCAGCGGCGGCGGCAGGGCAGATCCACTCAGAGGGAGGGCCGAGAGAGCCAAAGGATCTTCCTCCTGAAACACCCTTTCTATCTGGGCTGCTACCTCAGAGTGCGGCCCACAATCCAAGTGGGGCTTCTTACATCCATCAAGACAATCGAGACAGCTCTTAAGTGAAGTTCCCTACTCAGGCAATTCTAATTTGTGGCAAGTTAACATTAAGACACACGTTTTCTCAGTACTGACTCATTACCAGTTTCCTGTGTCAGAGGGGTTGGATCCCAAGTAATATCAAGAAGTTTTCCCCTTCTCTCCACACCTGGCCACTCAGTCATGCCTTATCTAATTCCCCTGGGGGTGTCAGCAGATGATTGTCTATATCTTGTTCTGGCAACTAACGATGATGGGTTTTCTAGTCATTTAAATCATCCTCTATGAAACAAGGCAGTTAATCTCTCAGGCTTTTCTAGTGTCAAAACCTAATAATAAAAATATTTATTCTTTTAGGGAAAATGCAAAGTTGATTCTGTAGTTCTTCGTGGGCTTATGAATGATGAGATGGCAAAGGAGGAGGTGACTTTATCTAGGACGGACTTCCAGAGCAGGCTAGCTAACCATCAGTGTTACAGTAAATCCTGCTGTCTTTGCCCCCAGAAACTGTCTTGCTCGTTGCCATCAATGGGCAATCACTCTTCCCTGTGGGTGATGAGTGCTCCTGGATGACATGCAGCCTTCAGCCATCAGTGAATTTGGGGGTGGGCCTCTTGGGAACAGTCCAAAGCCAGATCCTTCCTGTCTATCCCACAGGGCCCTTCTGGAGCTGAAACTCTGCTACAGACTCATTTTCTCTCATCCTCAGAAACTGCAACCAAATCTGTGATTTCTCTGAACCCTCCATGGACCGCTTTCTTTCAAGGAGAGAAAGTGACTCTGACGTGCTATAGATATGGCTTCAAGTTACCCCAGAAAACAAAATGGTACCAGAATGGCAAAGAATTAAGAGAAATCACAGTTCACACCTTCATGTTCTCTGTGTCTGGAGAGTACCAATGCCAAGCTGATGACTTACATCTAAGCATCTCTGTGCACTTACACTTTGATGAAGGTGAGATGGAAGAGAAAGTTTCAGACATCATTTCATTCCAGTTTTCTCTACAGATTTAATTATTACTCACCACAAATGGACAAACCATTTTTCACAATTATCTTAAATTAAAACATAAAAATTAATTTAAATTGTCTGTATAAAATCTATTCAGCCTAGCAGGCAGTAACTTCAACTCATACATATAGAAGGTCATAATTGTTACTAACAGCTAATTTAGTTCTGGATGAGCCAAATACACCCACCCACTTCTATCGATGTGGTCCTTAAAGTTAGGCCCAAAGCAGAAAGATCTTTGTGACTACACAGAGACTTGAGACCTACCCTGTATTTACAGACTCCTAACTTGAGATTCTTGAGCCCCAAAATATGTAGTGTTTATAAACTGCTCATGGGGAAGCAATTTATTTACATGGTTCTTGAATCCATTTTGCTTACTAGGAATAATAAGTACCATGAGGACTTTCATGTTTATAAACATATGTAAATGTTAGATAGATAGAAATAAATCGATTGATTTTTATCGATACACAAAGAGAGTGACAAGGGAGGGAGGCACTTTCTCTTTTGGTCATGAAACCTTCTGAAGTTGAAGTGGTGTCAGCCTCGTGATAATTACCTTTGAGTTAGTGAGCACGAAGAGGTACTATTAGCAAGGAAAGGGGGAAAAGCTATGCTCTTTGGTCTAATGAGTTCCTTGAACATTTACCTACTGAAGCATACAGATCTACACACCCCAAAATGAAGGTCCCTAAAGGAACAGGAAACCTCATTAAATGATATTGCTGGTGTTGAGGGAAAGCTAGGGCTTACCAGAAATCAGCTTCAGGGGTGATGCAACCTGAGAAAGCCCTAGTCAAGTGAAAGGCAAGCTAGCGAGTAGACAGTTCATTAAAACCCCCTCGGAAAGAAAAAACACATGGGAGGAGGGACTGGAAGACGGCACTCACGATGATGATGGGGGCTTTTTAACTTACCTTCTGCTGTCCAGCTTTTATCAAACTGCAGGCGTTTATTTTAAACTCAGAAAAAGAACTAAGGACGCTTTCTCCAATCCCCCTTCCTGTAAAGCCTACTTGGGACAGTAATGAAAAGGAGAAGCGGGAGAATAAACCAAGTGATGGGCCTGGTTTGTTTCACAGGTCCACTGGTGCTGCGAGCTCCACCCGCTGTGTTTGAAGGAGAGACTGTGACTCTGAGGTGCCACGCAAAGGAAAATATAGCACAAAAGACCTTGACATTTTACAAGAATTATGATGCTCTGAAACCATCTGGTCAACGTTCTCAGCTCTTTATTAGTCATGCAAATCCACGTGACAATGGTGTATACCACTGCAGTAGGAAGAAGGAGTGGCTTTGGTCCAGCACTTCTTCCAATTCTATCACAATCCAAGTCCAAGGTACAACTTTAATTATTCTGAATGGATTAGTCAGAGGCAGCCTTTCTACAGTTGTAGAGGTAGAATAGGAAGAAAGGGTGGACTGGAAGTCCACTGACAGAAAACACAGTCTTTTGGATGGAAGGATGTTGGTAACCAAAAGCAGCACCTCTCTCTTGCTGGCATTTGGTGAGCAGCACCAATCCACATGCTGGTGCTCAGGATGAATCGGGGTATTCTGCAGAGTACTTAACTGCTCAGTGGATGATTGTGATCCTTTCTAGAGTTATTCCCACGTCCTGTGCTGAGAGCCAGACCCTCTCAACCCATAGATGGAAGCCCAGTGACCCTGACCTGTCAGACTCAGCTCCCCGCACAGAGGTCAAATGTCCAGCTCCAGTTCTGTTTCTTCAGAAACTTCCAGACTCAGGCTCTGGGGTCAGGCTGTAGCAGCTCCTCAGAGCTGCACATTCCTGCCATATGGACTGAAGATTCAATGTCGTACTGGTGCATGGCAGAAACAATGGATGCCCAAGTAAGAAAACGAAGCCTGGCAATTAAAATTGCTGTGCAGAGTGAGTATCATTCTGAGATTTCCCAGGTATGAACTGGAAGTTATACAGAAGCACACACCAGTTTGGGTCACTGGTCTCTATAGAAAGTATTTTCTCGGGCTGGAGAGATGGCTCAGCCGTTAAAGGCTAGGCTCACAACCAAAAATATACGAAAGTATTTTCTCATGCCTGTGGAAGTTGTATGAGAGAAAATACTCAACTTATGTGAATATCCATGATGAGCTTAGATCCAAAAAAAAAAAAAAGTTTGTTTGGTTTTTTTCTCTCAATGCCTTTAGATAAAGCCACTCCTCATCCCTCCCTGCCATGTTCTCCCTCCAGTGCTGTAGTCCTAAGCTGTGGGCTACGGGGCAGCCCTCCGACCAGGATAAATGTTCTGCTCGGCCAAACAGACAGGTTTCTAAAACACTAGGTGCCTGATACAGACTGCTTAAGGACAAGAAAGACAAAGGGTGAAGTCTTGGAGATAAACAAATCCATCTTGATGCCCTTAGAGAGATGCTGCTACACACGCGATCACGTTTTCCTAGGCTCTAAAATAGCATCGCTTTCTCAAGCATGATCGTTGGCCAATAGCTTTGCCTGACTGAATTTGGTCCACCACACAGGAAATCCAGTTGAGCATAGTAGGGGACACATGGTATAGAATACCCAGATTCTGAGTGAGGAGGGAAGAAAAGTGATAGCATTACCCATGAATGTGCTCCCATTCCTAAGAAAACAATGTTTCTCCTACACGGACTAAACTCAGCTCTTCAGTTGTAGGACATGGGTGTTCCTGTGGCTACTGGTTTAAGGATGGACAGTTCAGAGAAATCAGAGCAGTGTTATCCAACAGTCATGTCACAGTGGTCCCTAGCACAGCCTCTCCTTCAACAGAATTGTTAAACCATACATGCTTCCCACCCTCTCTATTCAACTATCATACTGTGTTCTTCAAGACCGGAGAATGGTTCAAAAGGCACCGTCCTAAGCCAGTACACCTAAAACTGTTCCCAGCACAGACAATCCTTCCTTGTCAGTCTGTCCTGGACTTACTCTCTTTGTCCACCTGACAAGTTAAGAAGTGCTGACTTGAGGCCAGTTTATTCCCTATGTCAACTGTCATTTCCAATCAACTGCTCTGTCACTGGACTCGGGACAGTCCTGTGTGATGCCAAGTCTCCCTTTTCCCTTCATGTCTCCATCACTTTTCCTAAGTGTAGAGCACTAGGTGACATCTCTGGAACTGCCCTGTCAGGATGCGTAGACACAAGGTCAGGTTGGGCAGAGTAACCTATATTCCTGGTCCATATACTTGACCAAGGCCACTGAGGAATACAGGACCTTTTCATCAGACAGAAAACACAACCTCCACCCTCTTCCCACTTCCCAGAGAGAAGTCTAACTCTACTCTCAGGCCACTTCCCACATAATAGAGCAGCTTTTGTCTTCCCCACCCTTCATCTATGAGCATCCCATCACCAAATGTCCCACACAAGTCATTCTTATTTATTTAGGGGCTTCTGCGGACTTCCAAATACACAGTGTCCCAGCCTTGACGTCGGTGTTTGAAGGACAGTTGCTGTTATTCAACTGCTCAGTAAAAGGGGTCCCAGGGCCCATCAAATTTTCATGGTACAAAAGGGACAAGCTGAATAAAGAAACAAAGACTCCTAAGTCCTCAGAAGCAGAATTCAAGATCTCCGCAGTGAACAGCAGTGACGCGGGGGATTATTACTGTGAAGCCAATAACAGTCGCCGAAGCTTTGTCAGCAAAGCAGTGCCCGTTACCATAAAAGGTGCGTGTTGCCAGGCATCATCTGAGGAATGGATCCCCCAAACTGCACACAGAGACCCTTAGTGGGGACTAGAGACAGTCGGGTGGAAGTAGATGTTGTCAGTTACCAATACTCAGTGCTCTGAATAACCTACAACCATTACTCAAGGGCCAACAGGAAAGACTTAGAAATAGATAGAAGGGGCTGAGCACAGTGGGAACTCTCAGAGAGTGGGGTGGAAGAAAATGCTCAGTGATGAGGAATACACCCTTTGTAAATTACAAATTCCTTCTCAGTTGAAAAGAAATGGCTCTTTATAAGGGAAGAACAGATGGGATGCTAGAACCAATGCATCTTGGGAAATGCCTCCTGAACAAACCTTCTTACTGTAAGCATAAGGGTTTTCAGGGACCCACGATGACCACACTGCTGCATCTTCAAGCCTCAGCGGCACGCTCTTTTCCTACCCTCAGGCTCCTACAGTGAGATTCTGTGGAGACTGTAGTAGAGCTTTACCAGGAGGCCAAGAGGGCCCCTCCCTCTGGCCCAACCGCCATCTATTGGTTTTACCATGAGACTGAAATCCTAAGGCCCCCAGCCCTCAACACCTCTCTCTGTTCACTGAACATGTGATTTATTATTCCTGTGCCCAGGCAATGGAGCAAGGAAAGGCTGCTGTCCATCAAAGTAAGCAGCAGCCTCCAGAATCAGGTTATGTCCAGAATCAGGCTGCATGCTCCTAACAAGAGCTCCCATCCACAGCGACGCCTTACCTCTCCCTGCTCACCTTCTCACCTGTAAATAGAGAGGGTCATTCTGGGTACCTGGGAGAAAGAAGGACCTAAGAGAGCACCCTGGAAGAGCATGAGAATTCAGAAGGGAAAAGCTCCTGGAGCAAAGCACTGGCATTCCCCTGAGAAGAAAAATGGAGAACAGACCGCCACACAGTCTTAAAAGGCAGGAAAGCAAATGAGTCACAAAGGAGCAAAGAGTTGATCAGGAAAAGGGTGTTAGTCCTATGACAGCAAAATACAGAGGTCTCCCCTGAAGGTATCGTTTCTTAAAATGGAGATGAGTCATCTAACAAGAGGGCTGGGAGGGACAAAGCCAGAGGATGGACAGGAAAGGAACAGATGAAAGACCAGCGTGGAAGTCAGGAGATTGCTGATGACAAGTCTTAGAGGTTGAGCTGTCCCAAGATCTGGCAGACTAGTGACTAGGCATCTGCATTAGCCGTGGGTTGAGATCTACAGAACCAAATGGGAGTAACTGTCAACCCACTTTCTCTCCTTCAGTCCCAGTGTCCCAGCCTGTCCTCACCCTAAGCACTGGCAAGACCCGGGCCCTTGAGGGAGACTTGATGACACTTCACTGTAGATCCCGGAGGGGTTCTCCACATATCCGGTATGAATTCTATTATGAGGATGTCTTCCTGGAGATCAACTCTACGCTCTCTGGAGGAGGAGCATCCTTCAATTTCTCTATGACCACAGAGCGTTCTGGAAACTACTACTGCACCGCTGACAATGGCCTGGGGGCCCAGCGCAGTGAGGCTGTCCGGATCTCCGTCATTGGTAAGACCTGGGTTCCTGCTGATTCCCACTGCTTCACAGATTTCTCTCACCAAACCCTTTGGAAGTCTGCCCCGATGCCTCTATTCCCTACCATAACCACCCTAACCCTGCTCTAGAATGCCTTCTCAGTCAACTCATTGTCTGTGGGCCTCAGTGCTTACGTGCTTACCTAGCCCAGGCTAGGCCTGACTTCTACCTAGCTCAGAAGCCTCCACCCATAGCTTTCCATAAATGTGTATGGTCATCTCACACTACCTCCTTGTGCCCTGTAATGTTTAGTTCCCAAGCTAACTTCTCTTCATCGACAGAGGTACTTCTCTACAATCACTAAATAACTTCTCAACAGTGGCATGAACAATTATTATACAAGACCTTAGTTTCTTCAAAGAGTTCCAAGCAACCACAGCTCTCAACATAGGGTGGCAAAGGACTAGATTTGAAAGAAAAGGAGGGAAGGGCTTTCTGGGGAATTTTCTGGGGAAAATCCATTCCTGAATTTTCTAGGATTTTCATGACCCTCTTTCTAGAAGCCCATTTAAGCAAATGAGCTTGCATTATGTAGTTTTCTAGATCTTTATTGAAGGGTGGCAGAAAGGGATATGTCAGGTCCAAAAGAAACCAGGACGAATGGCTAACTGAAGTGCCTGTTAGCATACCAAAGTGCATGCTGGCCTCTAGGCTTTCTCAGCAAGCTCCTCTTGCAGAGTTCTGTGCTGGCATCCTGGCTCCTCTCAGCTCTTCTCACCCTGCCCCCTACCTTAAACTTCTCCAGCCCATGGCTTCCCTTCCCCCCAGCTTCTCATCCTGTATACCCCTGCTATTTGGGCCATGCACCCTCTTGGTTCTCTTTGCCCTTTTGGCTCTTGGCCTCTCCTGGTCCGCCTGCCCCATTCTCTCTAGCTCCTCTCTCTAGACCCTCTTTCTTGGTCCTACTCTCTTGCTCCCTGCCCCTCCCCCCTTGCCTTCCTTGAATGGCCCAGTTCACTCTGATGGCCATATTCAGTCCACTCCTTTCTCTTCTTGTTCTGAACTCTTCCAGATGCCTCTGGCTGTATTATCCCTCATACCAAAAACAAAAACAAAAAAACACAAAACCAAAACAAACAAACAAAACCACTTTCTCTTCAACTATACCTTAGAGCGAGTGGCCATGTCCTCATTTCATTCAGTATATAGATCATGGTTGGTAATTATCAAGGCCACTTGTTAACATCACCAAGGAGTCACTAGAGGAACAAATTTGCTTCTATTTGTATTTGGATCTTGGTTAGGAGAAAGTAAAAATCCAGTTGTTGTTTTTCAAAGCAGTAGAACATACTGTTGAAAAATACTGAATCACTTGTATCACAAGGAAAAGGGGCCAGGAGTCCTAGGTGGGTGAGAATTTGTGGCAAGGCTGTCTTGAGAGTAAGAAAAATAAGAAAGACAGCATGGCCAACTCAGAGAAGAACTGCATTTCTCACAATAGAATATATTTCTCAGCATAGCATTGTTGTTGACAATTTTGACACCCAATGAGGTAGAAGTTTCCAATGCCCTATTCTTAAGTCCTCCAATGATCTCCGTATTTTCCTGTCTCTGTTGTCCTTGATGCTGAGTGCTCTGATTCAGCTTCCCCTGCCTCATGACTTCTGCCTCATAAAGCTTCTGCTAGCCCTAGAATCTACTGCCCTGGGTCTCTACTGCACTGAATTCTCTGTGTATTAGTTAGCATCTCATCACTCTGATAAAGCATTGTCCAAAACCAACTTGAGGAGGGAAAAGTTTCTTTCAGCTTACAGTCTACAGTTCATCCTCCAGAGACGCCAAGGCAGAGAGAGGCTTGAAGTGGAAGCCACAGAGGAATGCTGCTTATGGGCTTGTTCTCCACTGCTTGCTCAGCCTGGTTTCTTTAGTAGCCCGGTACCACTTACCCAGCACAGTACCCACTCCTGCGGACTAGGCTCTCCACCACCAGTTATCACAATCAGAACAATACTTCAGTAGGGGCTTTCACATTGCTAAGGGTGAAAGCAGATTATAAACCAGTCTGTACATTGTGAGCTCATGTATGTGTTTGTGTGTTTATGTGTTGATATGAGTGTACTCATACAGAGGAAAGATGCAAAAAAATCTTGTTGTAGTGGTGCAGAGCTATAATCTCAGCACTTGGGAGGACTACAAGGTAATGTTTCAAGGGCAGCCTAGGCTACCTAATCAGACTATCTCAGGAAAAAAAAAAAAAAAAACAGTGGAGGGAGGGAAGAAAGAAAAGGAATGGATGGAAAAACCATGAAATACTCAACAAATGTGAGCTCTAGAAAATGAAAATCCATGATAAGAATTCTCAATGCTAATTTATTTTTTAGTATATTGGATTTTTTTTAATTTAAAAATAAAAGCCAGGCAGCGGTGGCACAGGCCTTTAATCCCAGCACTCGGGAGGCAGAGCCAGGCAGATCTCTGTGAGTTCGAGGCTAGCCTGATCTACAGAGTGAGATCCAGGACAGGCACCAAAACTACACAGAGAAACCCTGTCTCAAAAAAAACCAAAAAATTAAAATTAAAATTAAAATAAATAAATAAATAAAAGACACTGGTGTGAACTAACTCATTCTCTCCCTCAGTTCCAGTGTCCCGCCCTGTCCTCACACTCAGGGTCCCTGGGGCCCAGGTTGTGGTGGGTGATGTGATAGAGCTTCAGTGTGAGGCTCTGGGAGGCTCTCCTCCAATCCTGTACCACTTTTATCACCAAAATGTCACTCTGGGGAGCAGCTCAGCCCCTTCTGGAGGAAGAGGGTCCTTCAACTTTTCTGTGACGGCAGAACATTTTGGAAACTTCTCCTGCGAGGCTGACAACGGCCAGGGGCCCCAGCGCAGTGATACACTGGCTCTGAGTGTTATAGGTAAGTTAGCTCTTCAAACTAGCAGTACAAGGGACTAATCGTCTCTCTGCCAGGGCCCAGGAGGCGAGGTTGGGGTATTTTGCACAGAAACAGCCATTGTGTGACGTCACAGCAAGCCTTCTGCCTGCACAGTCTCTGTAGGGAGCTTTGGGTTTTACATGTTGGTGAATTTGCCCCTTTCCTCCATTAGCTGTATTCTGCCTGATAGCATCACTCTTCATCCATTGTGACCAAAAATATCCTCTAACACAGAACAAAGGCTTCTCAAAACACAGACTGTATCCTGGTCGACGGCGTTAGATGAAAAGGGAAGTCAGGAAGTTCAGTGTGTTCAGCATCTGTCCTGTTTCCTTAGATGAACCTGCACCCATCGTCTGTAGCCGGCCTGGCTATCTGTGACGGTCCGAAACTTGTGTCCCTGAGGACCTCCCCCTGAGGACCTGCGTGTGTCACAGCCCACTCTTTCTGAAAGCTCCTCAACTGGACATCTCTAGAAGGGAACTACTGACATTCCACTTGGCTTGTTCTTCTTCAGGCTGTCTCTGCCCTGTGAGACACTTCCTTTCATCTAGACACATAGGGAAGAGTCCCAGGGGTCTTCCCTGACATTTCTCTCCCTCCTCACAGTCAGTCCTATCGATGTTCCTTCCCAGGCGTTCCTTAGATCCTCTCTCTCTTTCTCTCTCTCTCTCTCTCTCTCTCTCTCTCTCTCTCTCTCTCTCTCTCTCTCTCTCTCTCTCTCTCTCTCTCTCTCTCCTGCCATTGTCAGTCAAATTCGCCATGAATTCAACTACTGAAGGGCCACTCGGTGACCCACCTGGCCCACTCTCACCCCACCTCAATCCATCTTCACGCCTTTCCACGGTTTGATAAAGACAGATCAAACCTCTAGCGGTGCGAGTCCTGACTGACTCTCCGGGCTCCTATTTCATCACACTTACTGGGCCCTTCTGACTGCTACCCTGCCTGTTGCAACAACTCCAGTGGACCAGCCTAGTTCCCATCTTCAGTCTGCACACGCTACCTGCCTCGTCATTTGCTTCTTCCTTTGGTCCCTCTGTACTAGCTCTGGCCCCCTATTCCACAGCAGGTCCAGGCATTTTCTGTCACATCCACTTTTCCTAGCAACCCTCCCATTTCTCAGATGCCCAGCTTTCAGTTGTGGCTTTATTTTCAGATTCCTCAAACGTGTTTGTGTTGGCACTTCAAAATATATACAGCATTACACAAACATTCTCATCTCCCAAGATTAGAATACATGATAGATGAGTCCTGAGGAATCTGAGAAGGCCACTAAAAACTAATATAAAACGTTTTGCAGTCAGAAATGCCTCTAGTGTGGAAGGCTGTGTTCAAACAGAAGGAACCAAGGGCTGGTTTTTCTCCCCCAGTCCCAGTGTCCCACCCTACCCTAACCTTCAGGGTCTCAGGACCCAAGCTGTGGCGGGGGGCATGGTAAAGCTTCACTGTGAGACCCTGGAGGGCTCCCCCCTCCCCAGTCTTGTACCATTTTATCATGAGGATGTCACCCTGGGGAGCAGCTCAGCCTCCTCTGAAATGGGAAGTCCTTCTACTTCCTTCTAAATATGGAATGCTTAGGGAGTTACTCCTGTGAGGCTGGCAATATCCTGGGGTCCCAGCACAGGGAGGCAGTGACAGTCAGTGTCACAGGGGTGTTGGACCAAGCAAACACTGGTCAGCACCTACTCCTTCCAGCAGCTGAATGCAGGGTCTGTTTCCTGACTTGGTATCTCAGTGCAGTTCCTTTCACAGAATATCCTTTCTAATCTTTTGACCCCTCTTCCTCCACCCCCACTTTCTTTTTCCCAACGAGTCACCTCCTACTTTCATATCTTTACTTATTTTTTTGCCCCACTGCATTAAATGAGGGTTGCCTGTATAAACATTAGTTGGAGTCATTTACTTAAATAAGGGTAACTTACCAGATGCTGCACTACTGAGAAATGAAGCATAAAGTATTTTTATAGCAGGATCATATTGTGCATTTAGCTATAAAACCTCTATTATTTTTAAGTTTAAAATAAATTCTATGCATCTTGTCTGTCTTTTCTACTTCTTTACCCAATCTATCAGGTTGTCTCTAGTTTTCATAGTTACAGAAACATTGCCATAGAAATCCTGCATAAACTAGATACATGTAGTTATATATATATATATATATATATATGTGTGTGTGTGTGTGTGTGTGTGTGTGTGTGTGTGTGTGTGTGCATATATATAATTGTTATATAATATATTATCATATCGTATATATAATATGTATATTATTGAAGACAATTTTTTCCACACACATACCAAAAAAAAGCCATAAAAACACAAAATCAGAAACCATAATATACAAGCAAAAGACTAATAAGACAAAAAAAAAAATGCCCAAACAAAGCAATTTGAGACAAAAGTCTACAAAATACCACTGAGTTCTTTTGTGTCGGTCATCTGCTGCTGGGCATGGGGTCTGTCCTTGAGTACGGTTGCCTCAGTCACTGCTCTATTGCTGGGAAGAGACACCATGACCAAGTTAGCTCTTACAAAAGAAAACATTTAATTGGGACTTGCTTGCCATTTCAGAGGCTTATCATCAGGGTGGGGAACACGGTGGTGGGCAGGCATAGTGCTGGAGCAGTAGCTGAGAGCTACATCCTGATCTGTAAGCAGAGAAGTGGGGGTGGCATGAGCTTTTGACACCTGGAAGGCTGACTCCAGTAACACACTTCCTCCAACCCCAGTGACACTCAGCCTCCTAATCCTTCTAATCCTCTCAAATAGTGCCACTCCCTGCTGAATAAGCATTCAACTATGTAACCCTAGGGGCCGTTCTTACTCAGATTACCACAGTGGTTAATATATGTAGGGAGACTCCTTTGGAGAAAACTAATTTCCCTTTGCAAGCAAATGTCAGTTGGAGATAACGTCTTGTTCGGGGATGGAAGCCTGTGTCCACTTCCACCTTCTCAGCGTGGGACTCTATCTGGCTTGAACTGTGTAGGCCCTGTGCATGCTGTCACAGTCTCTGTAAGTTCATCAGTCCTGTTGTGCCTGGAAGACACTGTTTTCTGGGTGTCACCCACCTCCTCCAGCTCTTACAATCTTTCTACCTCCTCTTCCCCACAGCTCCCTGACCCCTAAGTGGCATGATGAAGACATCCCACTTAGGAATGAGTGTTCCAAAGTCCCTCATTCTCTGCACCTTGGCCAGTTGTAGTTCTCTGTGTTTGTTCCCATCTACTGCAGAAGGAAGTTTCTCTGGTGGTGTATGAGGGAGGTACTGCTCTCTGGGTAGAGCAGAATGTCATTGGGAGTCATTTTATTGCTGTGTTACTTTAGCAGAACAATAGTGTCTGCTTTTCCCCCATGTTCATGGCCTGTCTAGTCTCAGGTTCTCGGCCACCAAAGCAGTGTCAAGTATGGGTTTCACTTCATGGTATGGGCTTTAAATCCAATCAGATAGTGATTGGCTCCACCACAAAGTTTGTGCCACTTTTGGACCAGCCTATCCCGAAGGCAGGTCACCATTGTGGAGCTCCGGTTTTGTAGGTGGGTTGGTGGTCACCTTTTTTCCTCTGGAAGCCCTGAATACACATTTTTTTTACCCACCTGGTCCTCCAAGTAGATTGTGGGCTCAAAGTTTATATGTTTTTAATTTTGTTGTTGTTGTTGTTGTTGTTGTTGTTGTTGTTGTTTCAAGACAGGGTTTCTCTGTGTAGTTTTGGTGCCTCTCCTGGATCTCACTCTGTAGACCAGGCTGACCTCGAACTCACAGAGATCCACCTGGCTCTGGCTCCCAAGTGCAGGGATTAAAGGCATGCACCGCCGCCGCCCGGCGTGTTTTTAATTTTTTAGATATTGTCAAACTGCTGTTCAAAAACATGTCTTCAGTTTGCATTGTCACAACTTCATCATATTATCAATCTGTTTAAGCATGAAAGTAATCATAGTTTATGGCTGGATCTAATTGTACATTTAATTAACTATGAAGATGAGTCTTTTATATATTTGTTGACAGATATTTTCAGTGATTCGTATAACACTTTTCACTTTTCTATTGAATATTTTTGTACACGAAAATCTACTTGTGGGTCTAAGTAATTACCTTTTAAATGTATCAAATGTTTTTTCTATTTTATTTGCTTATAATACCATTTGTCCCTTGTAAGGATAACATATATGTCAGAAGCAGATGCTTCTACTGAAGTTTTATTTTAACTCAGTTCCAGTGTCCTGCCCTATCTTCACACTCAGGATCCCTGGGGCCCAGGCTGTGGTGGGTGATATGGTGAGGCTCTGTGAGGCTTTTCTCCAATCCTGTACCAATGTTATCACAAAAATGTTACCCTGGGGAACATCTCCACTCCCTCTGGAGGAAGGGTGTCTGTCAACATCTCTCTGACTGCAGAACATTCTAGAAACTTCTTCTGTGAGGCTGACAATGGCCTAAGGGCCCAGCACAGTAAGAAAGTGACTTTTTTTAAATCCCTGGTAAATTTCTTATGCTCAAGCCAGAGGGGCCAGAATATATGCTTCAACACACAGAGCTCATTGATGGCTGATCAGGAGAGTGCTTCTCAAAGACGGGTAAGTACCTTGAGCTCACAGCTCTCCAAACTGTTGTGTTCTGAAGTGGTTCTTAATTGGTACAGGGGAGCGAGGCTTTACAGGGCATCTCGGAATTTACAGCTCATCAGGCGGCTGCCTCCTCTCTCCAACCACAATCTATCTTGACTCTCAGCCTTTCCCTGGGCACAAGGATGAGGCACCGAGACACACTTCCCCAAACAAATGAGCCATCTCTCATGTACCACATCAATCACTACCAAAGCCCCAGGACTTCTGGTCACAGAGGTTCCTCTCCTCCCCCATGCCAAAAAACCTGCACACCTCTTCCTGGCCTTATGCCTGGGTATCCTCTGCCCCCCAGACACAACCAAGAACAGAAGTGTTACTGTGGCTGCTGGAATTGCTGGAGGACTGCTCATCGTGGCTGGTGCGGCTGCTGGAGTACTGTTTTATTGCTGGTTCTCTAGAAAAGCAGGTGGGTGGCTCCCTAATCATGCCCTTCCCATCTCTGTTCCTGACCATGTGACCATCCCTAGGCTCTCATGAGTGCCTCCTCCTCCATCACACGATCCCCTACCTTTCCCTCTGGGTCCTTCAGAAGTCCTGTTTACCAAATACGAAGTTGCACCAACAGCCACATCGAGAGCAACATGCCTTGATGAGATGCTGTTTGTCTAACCTCAGACAGGGCAGAGGCTCTCCTCTGGGTGTTCATAAGATTTCCCAAGGAATGAGAAGAAGAAGAAGAAGAAGAAGAAGAAGAAGAAGAAGAAGAAGAAGAAGAAGAAGAAGAAGAAGAAGAAGAAGAAGAAGAAGAAAACTCTAAGAGATGGGAATCAAAACAGAACCCAAATAAGATTTCGTCACTTACTGATTTTTAAAATGTATAGCATTTTTATTTTTATTGATGATCAAGCATTTTTATTGATGATCAAGTCCATTTTCCTGTCTGAGGCTATTAAACTATCTATAGTCATTAAAGACCACTGTCATTTAAAATCTAGGTTAATGGAGTATGGATTGAGAAGGCTCTTTTCACTTGAGGCCAGCATAAAAAACTTCAGTAGTTTTCACTCCTCTCGGCGTGAAAGGATTCAGATCTCAGTAACAGAAGTTCCTGGCAGTCTCTGTGGGCGCCCATCTGAACTGCCCCCTAGTCCTCATGAAGGTCCCCTCTTCCTGAAACACAATGTCTTCCTTTACAGGGGGAAAGCCTGCCTTTGATGACTCCAGGTAAGAACTTGGCCTTATTTCTGGAAGTAATGAAACACCCATAGGAGAGAAAAATTAAATCGAATCTTACTATCACCAAGAGCACAATCTCTACATGTGTTGCTGAGGTGGGTTGTATCCAGTTGATGTTGCCCCTCCCTTGAGATGTCTCCAGTCGATTCCCAGAACCTCCATCTTAGCTACAGACAGCTAAGCCTCCTTTTCACATCAAGTGGTAAATGTTTCTCATTTATTAACTCACTTCCTTGTACCACTGTTGTTAGCTTGGCTGTCTGAATTGACCACTGTGGCAGTTAACAGGGAAACGGAGGTTCCCTTTGGGAGTTCTTATTCTCATTAATAGAAGAATTTAGAAATGGGTTCAGAAGGAAGCTCAATAACAATTTTATAAGAATTTAAGAGAAAAACATAGACAAGTTAGGCGAAAATCCTGGCGGCACCAGTGAGGAAAGATGGAGAAAAAGTCAAGTCTTTTAAGTTGAGCAGCATGGAATAGAAATTGTGCATTAAAAAAAGAAATATCACACCCAAGAATGGAATTAGGCCAGTGGTCTGAGAAGAGAGCCCAAAAGACAGCCGCCATGTGGTACACAGTCTTTATAACGCCCTCCCTCCCATTTGTACGTCCTGGGCTTTGTTTCACACACGTTCTCTTCCGTTTGTTAGATGATGCCTTCCGGTCCTCCTCTGCACACTTGGCTTCTTTCACGTTAATATGGAAGTGCTTTTTGAGTTCCTTTTCTCCTACCACATAGACATTGAATCCATCCATATCCTGAGATGACGTAGCTTAATTAGCCTAGAAATCCCTGGGCGTGGCCGGCCTAATCAAAATCCTTCCCAATGACAGCCAAGAAGACGGGCCACATACCTCACCCACCTCGAGAAGTCACTGTCAACAAGTGGCGTCTGTGAAGACGTGGCCACCGTCTTGTATCCCAAAGGCTCACTTTAAGAGTCATCCAAAGACAGTTTACAAACTGTCATTGGGCCTCCCATGGAGACCATGTCCAAACCACCAGAGTTCCTTGGGGCCTATCTGGTCTGTGTTTCTCTGAGACTAATATCTCTGAGAAGGGTCGCAGGGCTGGTTTAAGTCTTGGCTTTCACCCTTTCCAGTGCAGTGGTATTGGCAAGCCACTTAGCTTTACGGAACACCCGTTGCTTACACATATAAAATGGGAACAAAGCAGAACTAAATATTCCCAAGCATCAGCATGGCACCTCTTGCATACCATGTGGCCAAGCATCAGCATGGCACCTCTTGCATACCATGTGGCCAAGCATCAGCATGGCACCTCTTGCATACCATGTGGCCAAGCATCAGCATGGCACCTCTTGCATACCATGCGGTCATAAACCTAGAAAAAGGAGTAATATTGACTGAAAACTCCTTAAAAGGAATGGTCGTCCCCTCTCTCACTTCCTGGAAAACATCAGTGTTTCTATATCTTACAGGGACCCTTCATGCTCAGAACCCCAGGAGCCCACCTATTACAATGTACCAGCCTGTATAGAACTGCAACCAGTATACAGCAATGGTGAGGACAAGGGCCCTCCAGTCTCTGATTTGGCAGAAATCACAGGGTGCATATTAGAACAGGGTCAGAAAGACGGTAAAGCCTGAGGGGCTAAAATCCTTCCAGAGAACAAGCTGGCCCAGGGAGGGGGGAAGTAGCCAAGAAAAGAGGCAGGTCCCTTATCCTCTGAGACTTTACCTTCTTCCTAAGCAGACCCTAAAGAAGAAGTGATTTACACAGAAGTTCGGAGAACCCAACAGAATTGTAAACATGCAGGTAAAATCTAGGGGAGTCTTGATCCTTTACTATTGCTCAGCCTCCACCTCCTCAGCAGGTCTGGGCCAGCCAGGCACAGGGCCTCTCCTCACCAGGATGCTAGGATTTCTTAACTTCCATCTACATTGTTGGGAGCTAATCCAAAGCTACCATACAGTACTGCCTTCCCCGTCGCCCATGGGTGAGCTCAGGATAACTGAGTTATAAAAATCATCATGTAGTCCCCTCTGAGCTTCTGTGTCAGAACCTACAAGGTGGAATAGGACGACCATCCCTGCTTTCCTAGTTTGGGCAGCTAAAACAGAGCACTGTAGATTGGGCAGCTGAAATAACAAATATTTGTTACAGTTCAGAAGACTGAAAACCAAACACCAAGGTGCCAGATGGCTGAATGAAAAATGAGGACATGTCTGCTCCAAGGTATGGTTGAAGAGAGAGAGGGTTTATTGCAGATACGAGAGAGAGAACAGCCAGAGGCATCTGGAAGAGTCTAGACTGAACATGGCCAACAGACTGAACTGGGCCATGGGGAGGGGTGGTCACTGGGGAAGGACAATTCCCACCAAGAGAGATCCAGGAGCAGAGCCAGTCAGGAGCCAAGAGGGCACATCACCAAAATAGCTGGGTTATATAAGAGAAAAGAGAAGCCAGGGGAAGGGAAGCAAAACCCAGGGGCTGGGTAGAGGTTGACTATGCCAGCCAGGAGGACTCTATAACAGGTACTTGTAAGTAGGGACTAAGGGAGACTGGCAGCCAGAGTCCACTTTGATATGTTAAATAGGCACCTCAGTTAGCCATTTGTCCTGAGTTTTTTGAAACTTAACATTCCAGCTTTTTGTTGATGATAAGGGGTGACATCATCTCTTCTATAACTACTTCATACTGTGAAATAGGGGTGTCATTGTTGGGACCCAGGAAGGCTGGAATGTTGGTCAGAGCCAGGAAGGAAGAGAGGCATGAAGGCTGGGAGACAGCTGTTTCTCCCCTCCACCCCCTTACTTGTTACCCAGGTTCTGAGGGACCACCTGGGGCTAATGAAGTGCAGGCTGCTTAGGAGCAGTCTAGAATGCAGATTCCAAGGAACATCTGGGGCTGGAGTGTTTCAGGGAGTTTTGGGGCAGTCTACACTCTTCAGCTGACTGGAAATCTGCTGGGACAGGTACAGGCTAGGGACTGAAGGTAAAGTTAAGGAGCTTAGGGGAAAATTTTTATCTTGGGTGTACACTTGAAACGTCTAGACTCTAGTCCTGGTAATTGAAGAAGGGGAGGAACCCCAAGACCAGGGAAATGGGGATCCCACCCTCAGGTGCAGGCAGTAGGTGGGGAAATAGTCTGTTGATGAAAAGGAGTACTTGTCTGGAGTCCATAACCTTTGACCTGTAATAGGTGGATACAAGTCATGACTTCCTGAAGCTTATAAGAATATTTTAAGTTTACAAAAAGATGAAAGTTTTAGATATGCTAGCATTCCCACTGTTTGTAATCTGTTCTGAAATTTACATTGTAGAAAAAGCAGTAGACTCACACCTTTGAGTCAGAGTAAAAGTTTGGGGACCCAAAGATATGATTCTGGGTTAAAAGCATTAACATTTTTCCTCTATATGCAGGAACCTGGATATATAGATTGGACAGGAGATGTTTTTAGCATGATTGAGAAGCACTTTTAAGTCTATAGTTAGAAGACAACCAAAGGAAACTTAAATTTCAGCTTGTGACTATGGTAATAGTAGCAGTGCTTTACCAGGGCCTAGATTAACAGCTTATCAGAACTCCACTGATTAATGTTAAAACTCTGAACTTTAGAAGTCTTAGTATAACAATAGCACATCTGTCATTACTTTAAAGCACTTTCTCATGCCTTTATAATTTGGACTTTTTTTTTTTTTTTTTTTTTTTTGGTTTTTCAAGACAGGGTTTCTCTGTGCAGCTTTGTGCCTTTCCTGGATCTTGCTCTGTAGACCAGGCTGGCCTAGAACTCACAAATATCTGCCTGGCTCTGCCTCCCGAGTGCTGGGATTAAAGGCGTGTGCTACCACCATCCGGCTCTTAAATTACTTTCTTAGACCCTCACAACTTAAGCTTTTACATCCTCACACCTTGCATTTTCATACCCTAAATTACTTCCTTAGACCCTCACAACTTACATAAACTTTGAACTTTTTCTTTTCATCTAATCGTTTACCATGAGACACAGGTGGTTGGTTCCTGAGGGCAGTCAGTCATTGCAAAGCAAGTTCCTTTAAGTAAAGAAATAGTAAAAAGTTACATTGAAACCTGTTGTGAGTGTATCTCTACCAGTGCAAGGTCTGCCAGCAAGGTAAACTGTGTCTGTGCCTGCTCTTCTCCGCAGGAAACCTAGTAGCTCTAGAAACAAGAGGTCTGTTGCCTGATTTTATATATGAAATGAACAGGCAGCTGCAGCCTTGCGGGGAGGAGCTGGGTGCCTGTCGCTGTTAACATAAAGCTACAGTTAGTCATCAATACCATCAGAGATCTGCAAAGGATAAATTATAGCAGGAAATATAATCCAAATGGTTTATGTATCAAGTAAAATGACAGAGACTTACTGTTACCTAGATGGTTATCCTAGGCTCCTGTGGTATTGGCTTTGTTGGGGGTAGAAGTAGTTGATCCTTTGGCTGTCACACAGGACAGACAACATTACATCTTTGGCTGCTGCATGGAACAGCATTGGCCTTTGGCTGCCAGACCCACAAAGTCTGAGAGATTTTCCTGTGAAGGAATTTGGAAAAACTGACCCACTTTGGCAAGGCAGAGTAAAGCAGTCAACTCAGCAGTATCCACAGTTTAGGCAGAGCCCTGGCAGCAGACGAGGCATGGGGCAGTTTTTCCAAGTGGTTAGAGTTACACCAATCCAGGTGAAGTCATCTGTACCCCTTCATCTTCTTTGGAGACATAGGAGCTGGCATTTCTGTCCATCATGGGAAGATTTTTCCATTAAACAGTCTAAATGCCATATTCAGCAGATCTCTGAGGAGTTTGAGGACCATTATTTATTAGGGATACCTGAGCTAAACAAAATTTACATGTTTTTAATTACTAGTTTTAGGCTTAACCTTGAAAACAAATACAAGATACTAAATAAAGTTTGTCCTTGTAAATGAATTACATTTGTACTTAGCATAGTTTATGAGCATTGTGCATTAAGGAGTACATTAAATTTTTGATCATTTATAAGATGGCTGAGCATTAACTTGCACATCTTAATTACCTTTAACAGTTTACAAGTTAATGGCTTTATAAGATCAGGATTTCACAGCTTTATCTCTGTTAAGTCTGAGCCTTAGAAATTTGTGTTGAAGATTTAATTGAAGATCCTTTATGGACAAATAAAACCTTAAGCCATAAATGTAGTCCATTGAGAGACTGGAAACTTTACAAAACCGGAAATCTTTTTTTTTTTTCATCTTTTCATAGTGCACCATTACAGAATATCACAGTTTCTTGTATGACTCAGTTGATCCAAATAGCTAAAGCTTAGAAAAGTTAGCAAAGACAGGCTAGACACAAATCTTCAAGTCAATTACTAACCATTAACCTGAGTAGACCCTAGGAATTTATAAACCTTATTTATCAAACATATGTTGTTCCTTATTTAAAATTTTTCAGAAGCCTAGTGTGGAGCAGTTAGCAAAGACATAAGTGGCTAGACATACATCTCTAAATCAATTTCTGTTAACCTGAATAGACCTGTAAGAATTTATTTAGGAATAACCTTAGGAATTTATTATCACATAAAAATCCATCCTAATCCAAAATATTTTGGAGACCTGCTGTTGCCTCCTCAGTCTAAAAGGGAGATACAATGATAAATGGAGATCAGTAGGACTGAGAAGTTTTGTAATTGTTGCTTTATACCATGTGGTCATCTAAACCAAGATGGCGGTAAAGTTTCATTGTATGTCCTCTTTTTTAACCTTAGTAAAGATGGCTGCCAGCCACATGGTTGCTATTTTAAAACATCTATTTTCTAGTAGACCTATTTTTTAAACAAACGTTGAATCCTAGTTGCATACACAGAATATTCTAAACAAGAGTTCAGTCACATATATAGTATGTCATAGCAAAATGAGATTACCCAGGTATAGTTGGTTTTTTTAACTATAAACCTTTTGTTACAAGTTTTAAGCTAAAATTGTGTTACAGATTTTTAACCATACCCAATGAACTTACAAATCCTGAAATAGTTTACAGCATAGTCTTAAGAGGGTTTTGTTTTTGTTTTGGGGGGTTTTGTTTGCTTGTTTTGTTTTTGTTTTTTCAGGGCAGAGAAATAATAAAGATAAAGGTGTTTTAAGAGTGGAAAGTAGAAAAACCTTAGAGATAAGAGACTTTTGGAAGTGTAGAGCAGAGAAAGTTCAGATATAAGAGATTTGGGGATCATTTGTTTGTATGCCTATGGTAGAAGCTGCTACCATAGGAGAGAACTGAAAATCTAGTGTGCCTTCTTCAGCCACTGACTGAGCTGTGCTGAGGCCGAGCCATTTGAAGTAAGACAGTGAGGTTTTAATAAAATCTCTGAGTCTGGGGAGGAAAAGAAAAAGGGTCATACAAGGCCCAGGAGGGTAAAAAGAAGTTGTGGGACTTTCAGGAGGGAGCTGAGAGAGAAGGGGCAGAGTCACAGAGGCCCAGAGGGGCTTGAGGAAGAAGCCGCAGGATTGTAGCTCCTGGGGGGCTGAGGAGGGGAGGCGCTAGGAAGCTCTGAGAGAGAGGAGGCGAAGAAAGTGTCATAGGCCCAGGAGGGCATGGAGAAGCTGCAGGTCTATCCCTACCGAGTGGGGAGGCAAGGAAACTCCAGGAGGGAGCTGAGAACAAAGGGAGTAGAGAAGGGTTAAGTGTTGTGGTGACAAACAAGAAGTACAGTGTGGAGCATCCTCAAGAGACTGAGAGGCTTGTCGGAGAGAACTGTCCCAAATCACAGAGAAGAGGCGTCCCTTTCCACATGATAGGGGCCCAGATGGGCAAGAGGAGCATCCTGGTACACCTGGGTGGTTTTTGTTGCAATTAAAAAAAAAGTAGGCAGGTCCGGGGTGACACATCCAGTTGAGGAGAAGAGAAAGCAGCTGAAGAGGCAGACTGGAAGAGGCGTTTGGGAAAAGGGAGTGGGTAACTGCCTTTGGTAGAGAGATGCCCACATGGGTGTGGCAGGCCAGAGAGATGAAGAGATACGCCCAGGTAAGGCGTAGTAGGCTCCAGGAGCCAGAGGACAAGTGTCCAGGAGGCATAGCAGGTGCAGGAGCCAGAGACACTGACTGAGTAGGTGAGGGGAGGCAGATGGGTAGAGCAGGTGGAGGGGAGAAGCAGCTGAAGAGGCGGACTCCGGAACTGGAGTCAAAGTTGGTGGGTGGCAGCAGAAACAAATGGTCCGTACAGACCTGAGACGAGTCACGTCAACAACGTGGTTCCAAAAGGCCAAGTCCCTTGGAACTCATATCCGCCGCTCTGGTTTCAGCACCAGATGAGTGAAAAACAAGGACATGACTGCTCCGAGGTGTGGTTGAGGAGAAGGTTTTTAATTGTAGATATGAGGGAGAGAACAGCCAGAGGCATCTGGAAGATTCCAGACGTAACGTGGCCAGCAGACTAAACATGGCCATGAGAGGGGAGAGCGGAGAGCGAGAGTGGAGTGGGTATGCAGACCAAGAGAGAGATCCAGGAGCAGAGCCAGCCAGGAGCCAGGAGGGCACATTGCCAAAATGGCTGGGTTATATAGGAGAAAAGAGAAGTTGGGGGCAGGGAAGCAAGGCTCAGGGGCGGGAGAGGGTAGGGGTGGGATAAGCCAGCCAGGAAGACTGTAACAAGTACGCGTGCGCATGCGCAGGGATAAGAGAGCCTGGCTCCTGGAGTCTGCTTTGAGACGTTAAATAGACACCTCGGTTAGCTATTGGTCCCACGTTTCCTTGAGACCTAACAATGGCCAGGTTTTCTTTTCTTCTTTTTCCTTTTTTCTTTGTTATTCACTTGTATTCAATCATTTAAATATATTTTCTTTTTAAAATGTTGTATTAGATGCACGCGTGTGTATGATGCCTTTGGATCCAGAGCCCCGCCCCCTCCGCTCCAGTCCCTCCCCTGTCTTCTTCTTTTTAATCATCAATTGCCGATCGCAATATTGAAGGTTTTTATTTTTGTTTTCATGGGCTCTTCCTACATAGACTCGGCTTGCCTAGAACTTGCTATATTTACGAGGCGGGCCTCAAACTCACTGATATCCACCTGCCTCTGACTCTTGAGAGCTGGGATTTAGGGTTCAGCATTTTACCTGGTCTGTGTGTGTACAATGTCTGTCGCCTTCCCGTGTGGACAGTGTCTCTGTTCTCTCCCACTGTCTTCCTTGTATGTGCTGTAGTCATTCGCGCAGTGTAGTTCTAGGGGGAAAAGTGTGGCCTGAGGAAGTAGATGTCCAGCAGGGGAGTGTAGGACAGCTGTGGCAATGGCTGCATGCTGGCAGTCTCGCTATACCACCCATAAACCTCCACTCCCGCAAGTGACTCCAGTGAGGGAGCCTAGCTTGCTTTCTACCAGGACAAGGAAAGGGGGACCAGGTCCTTGAGCAGGCTTTTCTTAAGTCTGCTTTATAAAAAGTGCTATGTGGTTTTATCCACTGTGTTTCTCGTTCTGGGGTTCCAACTTTTGTATAAAGTCAAACTTTGCATCTAATTTATTGTGCAATACTCCTTTAATGCCTATGAGATCACTTAACCTTATAATCAATCCCCTTTGAGGAAAGCATTATTGTCCCCACTTTGCAGGTGGTAAAACTGAGACATAAAGACCTTAAATTACTGGCCCGACGTGATTTATGACTAGTAAATCACCAAAAAGGATGTTTCCAGGGCCAAATTCAGTACAGTTTCAGGAAGGCTGGCTGCTCAGGCAATGTAACAGTAGCACACACTGAGCAGTTCTCGTGTACTGGGTTCATTTCTAAGGTCTGTAAGTAAATACACACTTTCCCCCTTAGGATTATACTTCGTGAATGACTACAGCACATACAAGGAAGACATATTGTAGGGATATATACACGGCATGCACACACCGACATGTAAACACACACATTTTCACAGTAATCCTATACGTAGATAGTAAGATGGCTCCCATCATACAGATAAGAGACAGAGGCCAGAGAAGCTGAGCGATGTGCCCCTGGCCACAGTGGTACCAAGCAGACCCATGGCTCAGGCATGGCACCTCTGCCTCTTCACAATGTGTGGCGGGAATCTAAGATGGAACAACTCACAGGATAGAAAACAAGTTTCCTTCCCTCGACAGCCCTTGGCAGCATGATGAGGTGCAGTTAAGGAGGCTGGTCAGGGAAAGGAGGGAGGGTAGAGGGTGACCTCACTGAACAGGACACTGAGACCCCCCCAAGTGGCACCCACATTTTGATTCTCCTTTTCTTTCTACAGTGGCCTCTGAACTCAGGGTTTCCACAAATCCAGTGAGTCTTCTGACAGCTGTGGCTTCCCCTATGGGCTGCCGGCTCTGCCCTTGCCCTGATGCTGTGTCCTCCAGGGGTCTCCTGTTATCTACTCCCAGGTGATGCTGGCAAGCACCCTAGCTCCTGGCTGCAGAAGTTGCCCTCCTCAGAACCTCACAGATGAATCCACAAATCTCCCAGCTCCTACCTCAGCTAGTGCACCCCACCACTCTCCTTGGGGGAGAGGGTACACTGCAGTGAGACTTAAGTGCATCCAGAGCTCTTTGCACCAAGTGCCCAGGACTTGGGGCCCTACTTGGCTCCCACCCATCACTAGACGAAGTGCTGCACAGGGTATCTTTTTAATCTAATGATAAGCTGCTCCTGACCTAGGGAAAGTCCTATCTCCTGCTTCCTCAGTGAGCTTCAGTTTCCATGGCTGTTGCTGCCCCTCGATTTGGACTGCTCGACTGTAGCTGGAAGTCATGCTCTCGAGGTACATGGTGTCACCCCAGTGGCCCTCTGTGCTGCTCTACCAAATGGGAAGCACCCACTCTTTGGACATGATGAACTCCTTACAGCAGAGCTGCATTTCGCAAACTTTTAATTGTCTAGAACTTAAGGTCCGTACCTGATATTAGTGTAATTCCTTTCCTGCTCAACAGCTAACCACCCAAGTCAAGTGAATACCCCATACCCCAGGCCTTTCCTAACCTGGCAAAAGGAACCCCGCAAAGTCAAGATCAGGAGCACCGAGGACTGGATAATGCATCTTCGACTGTAGAAAGTACTGTGTAATCATGAATGAACAAGGAGGAAGAAAGCAGCATTGGATTCTACATGCCTCCCAAGAAACTCAGAAGCACCCTGCTCTTTCTTTCCCCTGAGGGAGAATGGGAGAAAATCCTATTCACCAAGAGTTAGGGCTCCAGATCTCCATGTGCTCATGATCACCTGAGAACCTTCTGGACATGCAGGTGCTCACTGTCTGGGCCTGGGGAGAGCCCAAGATTCTGCATCTCTAAAAAGCTTCCAGATGGTGCTGATCCTTTAGTGTAGGGATCATACTGAGAGCTGAGGCCCCGTAGGTCTTGGCAGAGACTAATGAAGCAGATCTAGCTACTCTCTGCCAAACTCCACAGGACATGTTCACAAGGATCACACTCAATGCCCTTGAGCCATCCTTTGACCAAAAGCACTGTGGTGGTTTGAATAAGAATGACTCCCATAGGCGCATACATTTGAACGCTTGGTCATCAGGGAGTGGCACTATTTGAGAGGGATCCTAGGAGGTGTGACCTTATTGGAGGAAGGATGTCACCAGGAGTGGGTTTTGGAGTTTCAAAAGCTCAAGCCATGCCCAGTGAGTTTCTCCTGCTGCTGCTGGATATAGAACTCTCAGCTACTTCACCAGCACCATGTCTACCATGCTCCCTGCCATGAGGATAATGGACTAAACCTCTGGAACTGTAAGCAAGCCTCAATTAAATGCTTCCCCTCATAAGCATTGCTGTGGTCCTGGTGTCTTCACAGCAATAGAGTACTGACTAAGACAAGCACCCTCAGAGAACTCTGAGATATCTTGGGGTTTGCCAGCTACCCTGGCAGGGAAAGGAGAACGACACCATCTTTGTTTCTCCTCATACTCTGTGAACAATTTGTGAATAAATATGCCCTCTACATTCTGATTGCTCTCCCCATTCCTGAAGTGTTGTTCCCCTTTCATTCCCATCATACTTTCTCTTGACCTCTGACCTTGTTGATCATTGTCTTAGCCATTTTTATCTAAAAAAGCAGACACCAAAAAATGTGAGTTTATAGGAAAAGAGGAGAAGACAGGGAGATGGGAAGAAAGATGTAAGGTCCATGCTCCGATTCCAGGAAAGGAAGGGGGTCACAGTAGCCCAGGAAGTTAAAGAGATTTTGAAGACATGTAGACAGATAAAACATAGCATTATTTGCTTCAAGCAAAGGCTTCTAGACAGGCAGCTACCCACAGGCACCCAGGCACAGGCAGGCACACATGGGCTACACACAGCAGGTGGCACACAGGACTCATGGTGGTAAGCACCTAGGCTTACCAACAAACACGTAAGCTTACTATCAAAGGCGGAAGCTGAGGTCTCCGGTGTCTGACCACAGGTCATTTTTACACAGAATCCATACAAAAGTGGTACTCTGACCTGAATAGTTATAGCAACAAATTGCATCACTGTTTACTTTGGGGGTTCCCAGAGTGTCCAGAGTCAGCCATGTTTTGGCTGATTCATACTATATATCCATATCACCACCATGTTGTCTAAACAGAAACTGATGGCCTCTATTCCCTACAGAAGGTAGAGAAGAGACGGAGAAAGGAATCTAAGAAGAGCGACAAGTCACATGATCTATAGTCAACAAATTAAAGGTTGTTTGCTTGTTTGTTTGTTTTGAGACAGGGTCTCACTATGTAGCTCTGGGTGTCCTGGAATTCACTAGGTAGACCAGACTGGCCTTGAACTCACAGAGATCTGCCTGCCTTTGCCTCCCAGGTGCTAGGATGCCACCCTGCCCAGTGCATGGGTGTGGACTTCCTTTGTTAGAGTCTTATGGACAAAAATGTTGGGGCAAAAGAGAAAATGTGGAGGCAGGTTGGGCCTAGAGGTTGGAGATGGCATGGTGGATAAAGTCAAGTGGACAGAGAGAACTGGGCTGGTGTCCAGGACGTGCTCCCTGTTCCCATCGTGGAGCTTGTGAATAGATATGTCTGGGTGGGAAGGTTGGATATGGCTTGGTAGAGTCCTGTGGTTTGGGGGACAGGTAGGGAGAGGATCCTACCCCGAGCCTAGAGCTCCTTTGCAATGAAGACATGGGAAAACCAGATTAGGTTGGTATACTAGTTGAAAGACCAAAGCTAAATCTTCTGGATCATGGAAAAGGTATGAATAGGGATGTGGTGGTCTAAATGAAAATGGTCCCCATAGACTCACAGGGAGTGGCATCTTTGGAGGTGTGGCCTTATTGGAGTAGGTGTGGTTTTTTGGAGGAGAACATGGGAAGTCTGGGTACATAGTAGTGTTGTGGAGGAAGCCCAGAATTGATTTATGCATGGTTTCAGGTAGAACAAGTCCTGACGGAAGCCTAGGTGTTGGCTGCAATGCAGGCAGGAGTCTCTGGTCTTTCGTTTTCCTTTTTCAATCTTTCAGGTCCAATGCCTTGAAAAGAGTTTTGTTTGTAACTGGAGTTCAAGACCCGAAACATGGCCCCTGTTCAACATACCAGAGTCATCCCCAAAGAAAGCAAACAAAGCAGCTATTTGGAGAAGGCACAAAGCTCTGCAGCCCACCTTCATGGTGCTGGCATGAGTTTTAACTTTAAAGAGAGAAAGAATTGAGGCAGGAGTGAGAAGCATGCATAAGTAAGCCATCTTGGCCAAAGTGTGTTCCAGTTGCTCATTCTCTAGGTTCTGATTCACCAATGTGTCCCAAAGAAGTCCTTATGGCTCAAGGGAGCAATCTTGTTCCCTATGAGATGATTGCTCCTATTTGGGCAACCTCATCATGAGGTGTTATGGAATATTAATCTAAGATGTGCTATATCTTTTATGCTGTGGAATATTTGCTTAATGATGCAAAGATGTGTTGCATTCTTTTATGTTGCATTTGTTTAACTCTGTGAAGCTGTGTTACTGTGCCTGTCTAAAACACCTGATGGTCTAATAAAGAGCTGAATGGCCAATAGTGAGGCAGGAGAGAGAAATAGGTGGGCCTGGTAGGCAGAGAAAATAAATAGGAGGGGGAGAGAGAGAGCAAGAAATGGGGGGTGACACCGGGGTCAGCCACTGAGCCACACAGCCAGTCAGGGAGTAAGAAGGAAAGAAAGAGATATAGAATAAAGAAAAGTGAAAGCCCAAAGGCAAAAGGTAGATGGAATAATATGTTAGCAAAGCTGGCTAGAAACAAGGCAAGCTAAGGCCAGGCATTCATAAAAGTAAGAATAAGTCTGTATTTATTTGGGAGCTGAGTGGCAGGCCCCCAAAGAGCAAAAAGTTAAAAAAAAAAAAAAAAAACACTACAATGGGATGATCTCTTTGCAGGTTCTGCTGTTCCTGGAATCCCACATGTATACAGATTTTGGATCTTGATGGGGTGTAAACAAGGCATTGTAAAAGTTGACAGCAAGATGATTTGATGGCTCTTATCTTTGCTCCTTCAGTCTTGAGGTGATTCTCCAGCCTCAGCCTCCATGTCTAGAATTGTAGCTATGCATCACCTGCCTGCTCAGACAACTGACCTTGGGGAATCAGCATGGTTCCGTGCAGAGTTAAGCACAGAGTCTGACCCGAAGTTTAAAGCAAAGGGAAAAAGACCAATGCAAAATGGAGGCAGGAATGGCAGGCTTTCACTCTGCTCTGAGGCGCCTTACAGGCCTGAGTGAGGAGCCAGAGCTTTCCAGCAAGAGCGATTTCTAAGTGTCTATTATAGGTCCCCTTTAATACATTTCTCCTGCTAAATAGCATTCCAGAAATGGAAAACTCCGTTTTGTCACCAGAGCTATCTATTTAAAATGAAGCTGGAGAGCTCTGTTCATTCAACAGTTCCTATTTCACAAATGTGCGCTGTACAGTCCACTAAATTGCATGAAATTCACTGAAAGTTCATAATTGGCTGGGCTTTTTCTTCTTTTAATATAACAGTCAAAGCCTTCACGACCGTTCAGTTCATGAGATCTTACTATTTTGTTTCCTTTATTTTTCAATTTTCATACAAGCATATATCGTATGTTGAGCGTTTCCCCCACCCCCACCCTGTGTGTGACTCAGTGCTTCCCTCTCTAGTCAGTCCCCTTTGTTCCCCAGACAGTTTCGCTTCCACTTCTGTGGCACATATAAATGTAATTTATGCATCTCTATAAAATCTAGGGACCACAAATATGATTATCTTCATTTTCCAGCCAATGACATCATTGTGTATTCCTTATGGCTAGAAAAAAAACCATCACGTATAGACACCGCATTTTCTTTATCTGTTCATCTGTTGTTAGATGCCTGGTTTGGTTCCATAACTTAGCTATGGTGAGAAGTGCGGCAATAAACACCGGTGGCAAGTCTCTCGAGGATACGTCCATTTGGGGACCTTCTGGGAAACACCTAGGAGTGGAGTAGCTGGATCATATACAAGCCCTGCTTTCAGTTTTTGAGAGCCCTCCATACTGACTAGTCTACACAGCCGGGCTAGTCTACAAGTCGGCTAGCAATGTATAAGGGTTCCCTCTTGTCCACATCCTCGCCAGATGTGATTGTCATATTTTTAAAAATGTATATATGGGTACTTTACCCGCATGTCAATGCACCATGTATGTGTACAGTGCCCACAGACACCGAAGAAGGGCATTCGATCCCCTGGAACTGGAGTTAGAAATGGTTGTGAGCTGCAATGTGGGTGCTGATAATTGAACCCGGGTCCTTTGGAAGAGTAACAAGTTGTTCACTGCTGAGCCATCTCTCCAGCCCTGCTATTTGTCTTCCTAATGGCTGGCTTTCTCTCTGGGGTGAGGAGGTGGGCTCTCGGTGTAGGCCTGGTTTGCATTTCCTCAAAGCTTACTGAGGTCGAATGATTTTAATATGTTTACTGGCCATCTGCATTTCTTCTTTTGAGAACTGTCTCATATCATTTTATTAGGCCACTTGTTCATCGGGTTGTGGGTCTTCTTCCAGGCTCTTCAATGTAACATGCAGCTAGGAATGGGGTTCGGTGACAGAGAGCTTGTCAAATGCTTGGCATAACCACGTTGTGTTTGCATAGACTCTTTTAGTTCTAGAAACTGTTTGTCCCTTTTAAAAATAAGGATTTCGTTCGGTTTCCTGAATCTGGCTGATGAGAACCTTACCCCACTGGGAATTAAAGACTCTTCCCATACAACAGACACATTTGTTTTTCTGAACCTGCCTCCTACTCCACAGCACGCACACTCCTGAGCTGGTTCAACACTCCCAATCGGTGATCACCTCCTCTGTTTTGTAGGGTTCTGCCAAGAACCATTAGGAAACAAGGTTTCACCTGAGGTCCCCAGGGCCAGGCAGCATCTCAGGCAATGCCCATGGATGATAAAGAGTTCCCCCCCCCCCCCCACTGTTCCTCTCATCACAAAACCAACTCTTTTCCTATTTTAAATGAGAACTGGCAATAAAACGTCATGCACGGTTTTAAGGCACACCCAGGACCTCCAGGGGCCTCTGCTTAGTGACAATTTGCTCGGAAAGGAGCCCCCAGTCCAGAAGAGGCATGCACACTAACGACTCTCCTTCCTCAGTGGGGAAGCCCAGGCCAGTGCGGCTCCCTCCAGCTCAGACTCCAGAAGTCTAGCTGGACCCCTCTCCACAGGATAGCTTCAGAGGCAGTGTGACACCCCTGTGTTCCGGGTGCCACACCCTCACGTCTCTGCCCCAGGACAAGTTTCCACATCTGTCTCCATCCCTTTCCCCTTCATCCCCAGTCCCTTCCTGTTGACCCAGAATAGGGGCCTGTTGGCGGATGATCCCTTTTGCAGCCTAGAGTCCCCTGGCTTGGATCCTCAGCCTCCTCTTGACCACAAGCTGGTTGTCTCTCTCCCCCATCCTGAATTTGTAAATTATAACAGAATGTGGACGCTTTCTCTCGGTTTCCCAGAGACATCAACTCTACCAGCCCTTCCGGGATGAAGGGCTCCAGTTCTCCCATCGCCCGCCCTTCCAAGGAGCCCAAGAGCTCACTAAGGAAGCTGATGATACCCAAGGACCCAGAAGCCCAGCCGAGGTGGGGATGTCCGGAGTTGACCCCAGCTGCTTTCTGCTGTTCGGACGCAGAGGGAGCATTACCAAGACAACCTAAGAGAGGGAGGAAAGGGTCCATGCTGGAAGGCCTCCAGGACAACGGTGGAGCTCCAAGCAACTGTGGGGAGAGAAGGGAGGGCGGGAAGCACTCTGTCCTTTCTGTCATCCAGTACACAGTACGCCTGCCAAAAGCAACTGCAGAAGATGGACAAGCAGCCTGGC